AAAATATTAGGCTTCAAATATGTCCATAAATTATCCAGACAGGGCGGGAACATGTATTCGGTCCCAAATGAGGTGAGACTCTGCTTCACAATTGAATGGCTACTTGGAATCTTATCTTTCTTTCAACACTCATCAATATACTATGTATTGTTTTTCAGTTGGGAATTCTTTTTAACTCCATGAAGAGGATGTCAGATTTCTTGTGGCCCAACATAGAAAACCGGTTGATGTCGTGGAGCTCTTGCATCCCTGATGGATATGCCACAGGAGTACGTCTACAAGACGAAGCTGCGATGCTCAGGACCAAATTTAGAAGCTACCGATTAGCAGTTGTGGAGAAACTTGCTGAGAATGTGAGTAAAAACTTGCAGCTGAATTTCTTAGGTTAACAATGTTGTCAACTTATCTGTTGCTTACTACAATTCTTTATGATCATTAATATATGAGTATGATGAGTTAATGCTTTGTTTCATTTCCATGTAACTAAATACAGACTAGAGTTGCTAGTAAAACGAAGTTAAAGAAAATTATTCGAGGCTCGAAGGGCGAGGAATCAGCTGTCCCAAGTAGAATGCAGGCTTTAGAGGTTCTTTTGCTAGGGACAATAGATCATCTCCACACTGTTTGTGATCCTACTGTGTTTGTAGAACTCTGCCGAGAGTTATGGGACCGGATGGGACAGGTAAATAAACTAATTTTTTACCCTACAAGCTCTCTCTTGGATTAGCATATTAATTTCATTCCTATCCAATTGGTTTCTGTAGGATGTCCTGCATCTGTTGGAAGATAAAAGAAAGAAGGCGGTGTCCCGGTGCAAATGCTTGCGAGTTGCAGTTTCTGTAAGTTTGCCCTTCAGTCATTGAAGTTTCTGTTGGATATTGAATATCTCTACATGTTCCAGGAGCCTATATCATCCTTGCAGAATTTGAAGCTAGATTTGGTTTAATTTTCTTTTTCATTATTTTTTAACCATACTCATTGTTTTTGAATTGGCAGAAGTTGGATGACATATTTGCATCAGAAATGCAGCGACTGCGTGGAAATGTATTGAAAGAAAAAGACCTGGAGCCACCACAATCTATGCAGGAAATAAATTCCATGTTGTAAGGATGCTGAACATGATACGGAGAACTAAACTACTATCGTTGAAGAATGGCTGGTAAATAGTAGAACTAAAGGATACGAGTTACAACACAAAAACCACAAAGTTTTGAACAGCAAGTATTTGTCAATTTTGAGTCATAGTTTACGTACCGCCATGACCTCCGTGGCGATTCTTATTGTCAGAAAGTATGCCTACAATAGGCTTGAACAACACAACACTATCATAATTGAATTGTAATAGTTTTGTATGGTTCATAATTGTATCGTAATAGTTTTTTATGCTTCTTACAATTCCAATTCTTTTGTTTCGACTTTCTTGAAGTTGTCTCAAGTTCGAATCTCTCCCACTTTGATTAAAAACTCTAAAATCATTACTCACCCATGTATAACATGGGAACTAATAATACTGCGTGACAATGTTACAAACACACTTATCGCAAAATAGGCCTCAATTCAAGATGTATTATGACAAGGTAAAAAAGTTCTAACTTTTAATCGTATTGAATGTGATGTTCATGATGGTTACGGAGATTTTAGTCTCTGAATTATTGGGAATGATGGGGTGAAATCAATAGCGCTTCATGGCGTCCCATCTTGTTCCACTTTGAATCAAACAAATTGATATTGCAATAACTACTGCCATGTGGGTTTTCCCTCCCCTCCAAGTACACACAAAAAGAAAAAGAAAATATTTTTCTATGGTGGAGAATTGCATTGTCACATACATTATGGTCCACAAAGCAGTTGACATCCGACCAGACATAAGATTTTTCTTTGATTTCTAGTTATGGGATGTAGAAACTTTCGTGTAGATACGGTGCACATAGCGTTCTTTTTTACAAGATCCGCCAGGAGATATGAAAAGAGGACGACTCTTTACTTCATCAATTGATGAAAAAGAAAGCGTGACTTGTAACCTTTCATTATTTATCTGAACTTTGTACACATAATAGTAGAATGTAAGAATGAATAAGAACTTGCCGTTAAATGTTATAATTTGTAACTATATGATGTTGTAAACTATTGGATACACATTAGATAGCGATTTTCACGCTTATCTTTTGATTTTTCCGACTTAAACATTCGAACTGTTATAACTAAATGATACGTTTCAAGCCTAACACTATATGAGTGCCTTAAAAGAAAAGCTAGTATCCATTTGAGAATCCAATAATTGAACTGGGTGCATCAACAATCGATGGTCCACTGAATACCCTATATCCTGTCAATTTTGTAAAGTTGTTCGAGGCCTACCACTTTCTAAAACCCACCAGCAACAATAATTAGGCCCCGACCCCATTGAACGATGCAAATCATCTTAAGATAATTAAATTAGATTACCAATTAACTGAAACTGAAACTGAGTGATTGGTGCATAATGCTGGGAATGTCATCCAGCATAAACCTAGTAAATATTATTAGTTTAATGATATATTCTAGGATATTTGTATGGATCTTTTTTTTCTGGTCATCCGATTCTAGGATCCTGCTTCCAACTCAACACTCAACACTCATCGACCACGTGTACGGTTCGGATGAGTCCGTGACTCCATGGTGGCAGGTAAGGAATGAATTACGGTGACTGTGAATGGCTGGGGTCCATAAAACATGAACCATTCGCGGCATCCGTATAAAGGTGGATCATGTGATGTCAAGGCCCCACGCGCAATTTGGACTATTTGGATGCGCCCAAATTAATTTCCATGTGCCCTCCTTCATTCTAATTCTATTTCTCGATTTTCCTTGTCCTAATTGTTTAATTTTTATAATAATGAAGGTGGCAATTCATCCCTAAAAAAGAAGAGAACGACGGCACCAATACAATATACTAGGCAAGCAACAGCTAGTGGGAAAAATAAAATTAGTGGGTGAAAGCAAGGCCGGTTGAGAATTCTTGACACAACACCATACTGAATTAAGATATCATAATTTAAAATAGACATAAAATTTATGTTAATATAAACGAATTCGAGTTGACTCCTAATTTTTTTTTTAAATGAATCATTTCAATGTCAACCCATATAAGCTACCCGATGGACCTGTTCATTACTAGTTTATGAAATTCATTTTGAGTCTATTTTATCTACCACGTGACATTTTTACGTAGTGTATTGAATCTATGTAATTTATATAATACGTGTATTTGAGTCTTAGGCTCATCATCGACCGAAAAAAAAAGGTTTATGATTTATATTAAAAACAATACACATTTTTATAATTTGAACAGAATCATTATACCACGTCAGCATGTCACATAGATATTTAGTATTAATCAATCTATTGTATAATGTTCATCTTAATATTGTTTCACATGAACAATTGTAGTCCCCTTTTCTCTTGTTAAGGCTCCTAAACATGAAAATCCTAAATAAAATCATGAGGATTCGTTCACACTTTTAAGACTATCAACTCACAAATCAAATTTCGCCAAACGATGAGCAACCCCGTTGCATTAACGAGGCATGCAAACAAAAAGCACTGCAGACAAATGTTGTAAGAACGACTTTACATGTTCAATAATATTACCAATTAAAAGAGGAATCAAAATCAACTAGTAGTCATGATTTTATGCCCAATTAAAAGAAGAATCAAAATAAGCTATTTTGAGAGAATCACTAGTTGTAGTCCTTCAAGTAAAGGCTTAAAAAGTCTTAAAAAAACTGATTTCTTGGTGTCGAAACTGCTCTACTTCAAATTCAGTGGCGGTACTATAAATTTTTCCAGAGAAAAGCAATATTTAAAAGACCAAAGCTCTAAAAAAAATGACAATCAAATACCATTAGAATTTAAATAATACTAATTTGCTTATATAAGTGGTTAGGCTAAGGGGGGGCAGATTTTTACTTACTGCTAACCAACATTTTTTTTTTTGCTCTCTTTGTTACAAAACTAAAGATGATTAAGGGCCTGTTTAGTATCCAACTTTGATCCAATTTTATAAAATTAAAAACATATTTAAGTCCAAAACTATAAAAACCCGTTTGTTAGGCCAATTTTTAAAAACTAAAAAACACCCCCATTATTAAAAACAAAAAAAAAGTGAGGTTTTATGGTTTCTCTCTCTCTACTTCATGTCCCGTCTCTTCCTCTCTCCTCCCTCTCTCGTCTCTCTCTCCTTCATGTCCCGTCTCTCTCTCTCCTCCCTCTTCACGTCTCTTTCTCCTTCATGTCCCGTCTCTCTCTCTCTCTCTCTCTCTCTCTCTCTCTCTTTTTCTTTTGTTAATTTCAATTTGGGAATCTAGGGTTTCTAATTTTCTGATTTTAATTTCAATTTTTTTTAGACCTTAAAAATAGTTTGGAGTTGAATACCAAACAAGTTTTTAGATCTTAAAATCACTATTTAAAAACTCATGTTTTTAAAAAAAATCATAGTTTTTGAATTTACTTTTTTGAGTAAGATACTAAATAGAGCCTAAACTCCCTAGATATGATAACCTATGTCATGGGTCTTTTCAATTCAAATAATTTTTTTAGAATAACATCTATGGCTTTTAAATGAACTGCTCAAATAAATGGTGGGTTGTTGTAGGCCTTTTTCCTTTTTTTTCTTTCAAACCTGGGATTTAAGAAAAGAAAAAGAAAAAAGTAACCTAGTCAATATTCGCAGTTGCCAGGGTTTTTCAGCAAGGGATGCTGAGCCTTTGTGGCTCCGCCAGTGTTCAAATCTATCTATGCCAAAAAAAGTCTTATAAAATATTTGATACGTTGTCTTGTTAACTTGTAAATCATGGTTTGCATATTTAAAACATGAAAAACATTTCGAACACAAGGGAATGTGGCGCACACATGCTAGAATGTTTGTTCTTTTTTTTTATGTATGTTAAATTTGATTCTTTTTTCTGTTTTACCAAGGTTTAATCAAATCAGATTCCATCCAATCTCAAGGAACATAGACAAATCAATAAAAATTATTTATTCATATATTCTAAAAAGCACTATTTTTCGTCATCATAGGATACACACCGAATTAAATCACAACCGTCCATTTCCACGATCAGAAATCCTTGAGCAACTTGCGAACCTGCTCCAGCGTCACGAACAGTACAACAGTGAAAGGTCCCTGCCTAGAAATCGTAGGCACAAACCCTTTGTAAAGCGCCAAAGGCCCCTCGGAGCGCACCGTTTTGAGCGCGCAATCCAGAGCCCCCGAGTACGGCGGCTCAGCCCCTGCCTCCACCTTCATGTTCATGATCCGGGTCTTGATCACATCGACCGGGTTCGACGCCACCGAAGCCACGAACCCAGCGGCAAAGCTCGCCGTCACGTGGGTCCCCAGCCCGTCGCGCATAACCCCATTGTCCAGGATCGTCTCCTTGATCTGATCGTACGACGCCAACTGCGACGCCGTCACGAGCATCGCTCGGTTGATCGTCAACGACGACCCGCGCCAGAGGCTCGTAACCCCTTCTTGCTTCCCCATTCGGGCTATGGCGTCGATGACGCTCTTGTAGTTGCGGCGCTCAGCCACCGGGAGCCGACCGTCGGCTTGCATTCGGACCATGGCCACGTCGGCCGGGTTCCCCACGGCGGCTCCGATGGCTCCGGCGATCAACCCGGCGGTGATCTTGCTAGGGAGCGGCATGTTGTGGGTCGTCGGGTCGGTCCATTTCTGCTTGAGAATGTCGTAGAGGCCCATCCGCGTCGTGGAGTAGAGAGTCTGTCGGAGCATGGTGGCGGATACGCCGGAGAACATGGCGGCAACGCCTTCTTGTTGGATGATGCGGACGCCGACGGCAATCGGACCCGCACGCGCCGCCGGGGGAGGTGGGGGAGGGAGAGGGATAGAGACGCGTCTAGCGGCGGTGGTGGGGGGGGGGGGGGGGGAGCCGCGTTAGGGTTCGGGTTGGGGGCGTGGGTCTCGCCCTGGAGCTGCATCCGGACCTTGATGAGGTCGAGAGGGTGCGTGGTGCACCCAGCAATGATGGATGCTATGCCTCCTTCAACAAAACCTTTGACGCCCATGTTGAATTTTCTTGAGAAACAAACAGAAAAAAAGGTTGGTTTGTTTTTGTGTATGGTATGAGAGACTGAAAAGAATTAAAGAATTAATTGAATTGGTTTCGGAATTAATGATTAAAGAGAAGACCAGTTGGAGTTAGGGTTCATCTCACTGGAGACCAGGAGATGAGAATGGAGGCTGAAGGCTATGGAGGAAGAATGAGGAACGCTGGGCCTCTGAGACATATGCTATGAGAGTCACACGAAACAAAACGAAACGAAGGGTGAATGGTTTGGAGAAGGAAGCAGAGAATATTTATAGCACAAGGTGACTAGTGCTGGGTGGCTGGGTTAGGAAAGAAGGTGCAGATTTGTAAATTAGCTTCTTACGCGATTTCAGCACAAACATCCGAACCTGCAACTCATCCTATATTTACGCGGTTGTGGGTCCTGCCCTCCCACTCTATTTTGTCTAACGTCCATGCCTCCAATCAAATCATTTATGATGAACAAATGCAGAGAAAATTTTGGCAAAAAAACCAAAAATAAAAACAGAAAGAAAATAAAAACGGAAATCAGTTCACATTGTAATTTACTGTTTGATTTTATCGGAAAGGTTAGGTATATGGAATGGAAGAGAAATAATCGTTCGACCCACGTTTGTTTTTATTTATTTTTATTTTTTGTTGTTGCCAAAGTTAGGAAGAGGAAAGAAAATTTCTCACACACACTGCCAATGTGTCATAGAAATTCAAATTTGAGATCACTGATTTATAAGTTATACGCTTTTTCATTAAGCTGGACCTTGTTGAGGACCTGCATTTGTTGGCATTGATAATTTTGGTTTAAACGCACATCCAGCAATTAAGGAATATTCTTACTTTTTATTTTGGGAAATAATATTCTTATTTCAATTTGATGTTGCCTTTGTTCCTCTACAATTTGAATTTAAGCACATGCTCGAGACTCTCCGCTATTGCTGTAGTCAAATAACCAATGTCTATAAAATTCTAGAGTCCAAGAGACTTCACTTTTATGCATATAAAATTCTAAAGTCAAAACGGTTTAACTTTCATGGCTAATTTTTAAACGAAACGTCTTGGATGATCTCATATATATTTTTCACTTGTTTCATTTAGGTCACACGTTGTGCTAAACGATTTGACGGCTAGCACAAATATATTTCTTTTAAGAAATCTAAAATAATTTGTAAGGGAATTATAGCTCAAGTGATTAAACGATGTCTTAAATTCGAATCTCCTCTCTGTCAATATAGTTTGTATAAATAAATAAATAATAATTTTTATGGATGAGATGAGAGTTGGAAATCGTCAAGACACCGTAGAGGAGAGGGCATGCAAATTGAAATCCGCAAGTGCAAGGCAGTTGTTTACGTTACATCTGTGCTCATCACTCAGTCATCAATCATCAGTCTTGTTTTTTAGGGTGGGGGGCAAATGTTGAAATTTTGGCCAAGTGCGGTTTATTATTAGTTTAGATTAGAGGTGGCAAGTGGGAAATCAATTCAACTTCTAAGTGGCTGTTCAAATTTCAACGGGACCAAATGCAAAAGTATTGACTGGGTTTCCTTCCGTTCCTACCCGGAGGACAAACTGGCCTTTTTGAGTGTTGCTCTATTTGCCGAACACGTGTCCCGAGCTCTCATCAGAACTGGATCTTGTAGAAGGTTTGAAAGGGTTTGGACTGACGAAGTCGCCGAGACCCAGTTGAGGTGGTTGGCGGAGAAGGCGGCACTCGGGGAAGGCGCCGACCTCGCTTCCAGAAAAACAGGAAAGGAAAATATAAATTGACAAAATTTGACAAAAATATTTTAAGAAACGTCGCCTGAGAGATTCGAACTCTCGCGGGGAAACCCCATGTACTTAGCAGGCACACGCCTTAACCACTCGGCCAAAGCGACGTTGTTGGTAGACAGAGCGAAGAATTCTTTATAAATCAAGTCAGTAATAACAGCGGCGTACGTTAAAATTTTAGGACAGAAGGTTGTTTTTTGAGGATAGGGAGTTTCATTTTAGGAACCAAAAAGAATTGAAATCATTTTACATCACTATGTTTTGGGTAAAAAAAAAAAAAAAAAGAACATCTTTATATATCTCAAGTCTAGAAAAACTTTATACTCATTGACCCATACAAAAAAAATTAAAGATTCGAATTTCCTTATTAAGCAGAAAACTACCATACTGACCCAATATGAATTAGGTCGAAGAAGGAAACCAAGAGGTGTTGGGAGTTTCAGATTGAGCTTGAGCTTGAACTTGTGAAAATTATATTGTTGTGTATGGTTAAGACTTTACTTGATTATAGTATATTTTTGTGATGAACCTAATCTAGAAAGAGGAGAGAAATTCAGAAAAGGAAACAAAATAAAGAATACAAATGTATAGGTATTACAATTTCTAACATTAGTATTTTATTTGTGAATGAAATTGACT